ATTACCATAAGAACGTAATCAATACACGTATATAACATATACATCATGAATTTAGCCCTTTTGGCATGGGCGGTTCTAGACAGGGGGCAAAGGGGGCCAGTGCCCCTGTAGATCATGCCCTGGCCCCTGTACTGAAGACATACCGTAAATCCTCTAATATAGGACGGGGCCTTTGTTTCAGTCAGGTGCATCTTGGTCCAGGCCATTAATGGAAGGAGGCCAGAATTAGAGGCAGGCCTCTATTCTATTTGATCAAACAGACCAACAGTGGAATGAATAAAAACCAGCCTGATTCTTAGTCTCTTTGAACCAATAAAATACTAAGTTCATTTATTGGAAAAGTAACGATGTACAGAACATTATTCAGACATCTTCCAGCAGCTGTAATATTTCTGATAGAAATATTTCAAGGGAAACTCAGAACAACGAAGGCCAACGAAGTTCAGTCATTTAAACGCTGCCTGGTTTCCAGCAGACCTACCGCTGATCACGTGTCTTTCAGATCAGAACGATTGTGTGGCTGATTATCCTCCTGCAGCAGCAGTGTGTCGCAGTGAGATTGATGCAGACATTTTTGATTTATGCTCAGTATTGCAGCGTGGTCTGCTCTATACGCTGTGGGTCTAGAGACGGCTGAGGCAGAGAGGAGGTATGAGTCCGGCCATTACTTAGCTCCACTGACAGCCAGGCAGCCGTTATTAGAGACCCGGCCGCTAATGGAATACAGGCCAATATTAGAGGATTTACGGTAATGCGCTGGAACAGACATGGTTACTGATGGGTCCTTTGGATCTGTTTCTTTTCTCTATAAATTCTGTTTTACTAATAATGTAAAGATAATGAGGTGATGGTTTCAGTGGTGCTGAGATACGATCCCAGTTTCCATCTGTTAGATGTTTTTTTTTTCAAAACAAATTGCTCTAATTTTTACGGCTGAATTTATCAGTTTTTCTTGAGTTCTAATTCAGATTTGGGAGAAAACCTTAATTTTTAAGTTAAATTCATGAATGTTTATTGATCAAATAAGACAGAATTTTAATTAAACCTTAATGAATAGAAATTTCACTTCATGCAGATTTCTTAATATATTTGAATCCTTTGACCTGTTTCCTATTTAATGCTTCTATGGGCCCCCAGGAAAACACGCTGGCCCCTCCTGGCCCCCTCCTGGCCCCCTGAAACATTTGGTCTAGAACCGCCACTGACTTCTGGTTCATCTGTATTATTCTGCTCCTTTAACATATTCATTTTATTGTGATGGTTTTATATAATATCTAATATTACCTGATTTATTGACTTATTTTAAAGTCTAAAGTCCCTGAAAATGAGAACATCATGGTTGTTCGATGCTGTAGCGCAACAATTGTTTACATTGATACCGCTCTAACTAGGGAGTACCAATATGGCGGCCGATGGCTTCACTCCCCCCCCCGTCCTTCCAACGGCCAATCAGAATCCAGGGAATAAACAGAGATCAGTGAGCAGCAGAAGCTCTGAGGCAGATTTAGCCTTTCAGACTTAGACGACTTTAATTGTCGTTTATTTTTGCGTTTCTTAAAGTGCAGCAGTGATCAAATGTAAACAGAGAGGGAGAGAAAAACATGGCGCAGAAAAACGCGTTGATGAGGAAGATCAGAGCTTTAATACCTGAGAGAGTCTGACCTGATGGGAGCTAAAGATGCTCAGCCTCTGCTTTCCCCCACAGGTGCAGCTGGAGGAGGAGCAGGAAGAGGAGCTCATCACTGTTGATGCTGTGGGCTGCTTCCAGGAGGAGGAGGAGGTGGAGGTGGTAGATGATGATGATGATGATGAAGATGAGGAGCGGTCTGAGGTTTGTTCTGCTTCAGGCTCTCAGCTCTGGAACCCGTTCCCTCCCTCTGACCCGGATGACTGCTCCCTTACAGACTGTTGATTCCAAGGAGCAGGAGGAGGAGTTCGACCCCCAGCGGACCTACGGTACTCCGGCCGCGGCGCCCCCCGGTGGACGCCTCTGAGAGGCGATGAAGGACTGATCCAGTTTAACCGGACTGTGTTTGCAGGAAGCAGCTTCGTGGTTCCGGTTCATGGATTCGTTTGTCTGCTCTGCAAAAAGTTCTTCTACAGAGAGACGGCAGCTCGCCACACACACTGCAGGACGCACACACACTACCAGAACCTGCAGGTAACAGACACACACCTGTCCTCTGCTCTGCAGCTGTGTTAGCCTGCTGCTAGCGCACAGCTCCCTGTTTGAATCCTCTCTAGCTCAGCGTTAGCAGCACTATTAGCCGTTAGCTCAGGCCTCTTTCCCTCCTTTAACCGTGGTCAGCGCTGGCGTCCATGTTTCTAGCTGTGCACTGAAGCCCAGCAGGCTTCAGGGCGCGGCTCCTCCGGTGTATCTGAAGAACCTGTCACTACCCGATCCGTCCAGGAAGCACAATCCGTCCTGTCAAACAGGATGATGTCAGGGCGCTGCGACACACGGCGTTTGATTTAATGACGTAACCGATTCATGTGGATCGTTTTATTTAACTGGCTGTTAAATGATGGCAGCTGTGAACATAACACCTCGCTCCTTCATGTTGTTTCCTGTTTAATTATTCATTTATTTCACTAAACCACATTAAAAAGGTCACTTTCAGTTCCATTGCTAATGAGATAATAGCGAATGATGCATTCATGCGGTTAATTTTAAAAACAGGCTCTAACCACAAAGATCCCTTCATGTAAACCCACTCTGTATTTATAGCTATAGTTAGTGTTTGTTTTTATGATATTTTATCCCACTTTTTATCACGCTTAAATCAAATAAATGTTATTTTACAAATTTTATAATCCAACATTTTTAATTAACGCTGTGAGCGCATCGGAGCGAAGCGAAATCCTCGCTCCAGCCTTTGAATTGAGAACGGCTCTCCGCTCACATGCTGGACATGTTATGGTTCAGGGTGTTGCTCAGAGAGCCACAGTGCAGGCTGCGGGAATCGAACCGGGTACCGGCTGCCTTCTTAGAGCACAGAGCACTGCTCTAACCACTAGGCCAACACCCCCAACCTTGGATGGAAGACAGCTGGACCTCTAACCCTGAAGCTACATTCAGACCGCAACCAGCGGAGGCTGGTTTACATGCTACGTCCATGGTTGACGCGGCCGGAGTACCGTATGAGTACTTGAAATAAAACAATGCAGTTTTTTCTTATTTTAAAGGGGAATTTCGTTTTTTTTCCATTGTTTCCTTGATTTTCCGTTATTCCATCATGTTCTACTCTCCCATATGAGTTTAGTGTCATTTGGAGCCATTCTGAAGATATTCCGTTAGGTTATATCCAGTAACGGATATATTGGGTTCTATCCAGTAACGGATATATTGGGTTCTATCCAGTAACGGATATATTGGGTTCTATCCAGTAACGGATATATTGGGTTCTACCCAGTAACGGATATATTGGGTTCTATCCAGTAACGGATATATTGGGTTCTACCCAGTAACGGATATATTGGGTTCTACCCAGTAACGGATATATTGGGTTCTATCCAGTAACGGATATATTGGGTTCTACCCAGTAA